GTGGTTTTGTGCTGAGAAATCAGCATGCAGGTTAATCCGTTGACACTCTTCAAACAAAGCTTAAATGATTCACTGTACCATACTTGATTGACGGTGACAATAAACAAAACGGAAATTCACAGAAAAAGCCTTTTTGTTGTTTTTATCAGCCATCTGCTAAGGGGTAGACCATTTGTCTTTTGAGAGGGTGTGTGGGTGATTTGGTAGGGGCACAAATCTTTTTTTTAACTAGGAAATTTTTTCTTGGGATGTGTATATGCAAGATATTTAATTCTCTGTGTAACAAGCTGTTTTCAGTTCACTAAAAGTGTGTGAATGTTTTTTTTTTTTTCGGCAGTGATTGAGTGCATGAATTTTTGTTTAGTACAAGTATGCTTGCAGGATATATATATATTTTTGTCAAAATAACCTACCCTTCCCCTCAAAAGTCAAATGGTCCACCCCTAAGCACATAAATAACCCATGGCCAGGGTTGTCACTAAGTACATCCCTGCATGGCTGGTGGTGTCTGTTGAAAATTATCTGGAGATTCACTAAAATCATTTAATAGTAATTTTAACAAATCAACTGAAAGAAGATCTGTCTCTGACTCCCTATTTGCATCATAATAATGCTATAACCAAATCATGGGAGAAAACTTCAGGTAATATTGTTTCTCAGTAACACTTATTGATTTATAAATACATCATGATTATTTACACCATCCACCCTGAGTAACAATGGGGGTACCAGCAAGACATTTTGGCGGGATGACTTCTTCGCCATAATAATTGATGATGATCATTTGTGGCATTATAGAAACAAGTTCATCCAGTAATTCATCTGGTACTAGATTACACTGTGTTGCATCAAGCCGTCTTAATCTAGGCATGCATTGAGGAATTTCCTTCATCGGTTTTCCACGCAAGTCTTTTGCACCACAAATATTCATATCAACCATTTGAGTGCAGTTGTGGACCACATGCTCAAGGCCGACATCAGTAACATCCCAACACCAGGAGATATCGATGCTTTGTAGTTTTCTACAGCTGTTGAAAAACAAAAGATAATTTATATAGTAAATTACTTTCTTTTTAATGAGATTTCAAAAAGAATACTCTTGTAGGTGATGTGCATCACCTTGGTCTCCTGACCAGCAATTTTCTTGCATTTGCAATATTTAATGAAATCTTTGGATCCATTTTCTTTACATGTCTGGCATCTCAGAGTTAAAGACCTTGCATGTGCAGAGCTAGTCAAAAAGAGTAAATTTAGCAATTTGGTTACTAGAAAAATGTTTTTTGTGATCTTGACCAAAAGCTTCAAGACCCTCTACATGCATCATATATCTTCAGGAAGAATTCACAATCTAATCATATTTTTCATAGAGTGGTTTTAAATCGAGTAATGTTACATCAAAACCATTCAGGCTCCTTCTTGGCATAGAAGACACAGTTCANGTGAAAGCAATCTATATATAGGCAGTTATATGTACATTAACTATCAAGTATTTATAGATTAACTATCTACATGTAGTACACAGGGGTAACATGTCTCCACTGAAACTAGCTTTAGCTGAGTGATACTTGACCTTCCTGAATACATATTACTTATAGATAAAATAAAATGTTAAAAAATAAATAGAAAGGAATAAATAAATACAAATAATTTGTAATGAATGAGTTTGCTCACTTTAAGTGTCGGCATTTTACAATAAGCTCAACAGTATCGTCAATCATGTTCTCCCCATCTAACCATAAATGCTCAAGATGACCACAACAATTCTCAACCAACACTGCTATGGCATCATGGGTAATCCACTGAACACCATCAAAGTTAAGGTAGCAAAGTTGATGACACTCTGTAGAGAGGAACTTAAGTCCATTGTCTGTAAGATGGGTACAGTGGGAAGCATTTAGCTTCCTTAATGGCAACTTGTTAAGGCCCTCTAAACAATGATCTGTCACAGCACATCCTGCTAAATTCATGTCACGCAAGTTAGGGCAAAACGTGACAAATTGACCAAGAATATGTCCAGTAACTTGATCGCAGAAAGAAAGTGACAGCGCCTGCAAGTAAGGACACGATTGAGCCAAAATGCTACAGCCGTGTAAAGAAAGTTCAGTTCTTGGCTGAAGACAGAGTTCTTTGAGAAGTGGACACGTTGATTTTATAAAATCGCTGATTTCTTCAAGCGAAAATACTCGGTTGCTTTTCTCCAATGACAGTTTCTGCCGTAAAAGAGGACATTTCGAATAATGAAGCCACAGTTTGCAAACCACAGAGACGTATTTGCATAATTCTTGAACAGTTAAGAACGAAAAGATGTTAATGATAAGCTCTTCTGGAAGAATATCGAATGGACAGAAATTCCCCCCCTTTTCTGAATCGTGCTTTTTCGGAAAATGCTTTTCGGGAATTTCTTCCAAGAGAAACGTTTCTTCGATGTCATTATCTTCAAATTCATTGCCAAGTTCGTCTTCATCTAAATCTGAATAACTCACAATCTCCTCAAACGCTTCAAACCCAACTCCGGAATCCATCAACTCATGCTGGGTTAAAAGTTGTGTACCACACAACGGGGGTAGGGCAAGGTAGCCGTGCAACAGTGCCCTTGGGCAATGTCCTGGTTTACCAAACATGAAGTAGCCAACGACAGTGGCAACAACTGCTGGCTATATATGCTCCACGTGAAGCGTGCAATTGTTTTCTGGGGAATTATTGAGGCTAAAGATGTTAAGAAGGAAGCAAAAGCGCCAGATAGGACAGCCTAAATTCGAGGAGACTTCCTCTAAAATAAGTAAAAAGGACTCGGCTTCTGAGAACTCAGATGGCGAAGATGAAAGGACGTTAGAGAGACTGGTGTTTGGTGGTGAAAATGACGCTATCAGGGAACTTGAGAAAGACTTCACTGAAGATCAGGATAGGTTTTATAGTTCAAGTGACGAGGTGAGGAATTCTGTGAAAACGCATAGATCTGTCTTAGTTGCAAGTTTAATGTATTTCTATTTCAGTGGAGAAGTTTCAGTTATACCTCAATAAACATTCTGCAGACAGTTGTTTTTATGTAATGGATATTTACTTCCCTGAATCAGGGTTGCCTTTTGAAGGTGTTGTGCCCAACTGAACTGTTGGTCAGGATCGCACATATACATNCAATGTAAGTCAGAAATATAATCGTAACACACACTGTAGATTGTACTGTTCTGAAGAGATTCTTCTTTTAGCAAAGTTTTAAAGAAATCTGTACCTAGGGTTCAGAGGCACGTTAAAGTTTTGAAAATTTATGGTGGCTCTGAACCCTACATACAGAAATTTTTTAAACTTTGCCGCAAGTTGACTCTTATCATGCTTATTAAAATTTGATTTTTTAGCAGTTCACACTGTTGCTATGGTAACCTATTGCATCACAAAAATGATAACATCGTGTCCACCAATGATTGGGCAGTTTTTCGATACCATGATTGTAGCATCAAGTGTTTAAGAGTGGTTATAATGACCCACCAAAATCTAAGTGCTGGAAACTTTTTTGAGCCACCTTAAATTGGAAGACTTGTTTTCTTGCAGGCTACCATCCAGTGTATAGAATTCCACCCCAGTGCCAAGGTTCTTCTCACTGCAGGCTTCAACAAAACATTAGATCTCTTCCAGGTAATTTGACCCTGTATAACCACAGTATGAAGTGCGGTGGCCTCATGGTTAATGTACTCGCTTCCGGATTGAGTGGTCCAGGTTCGAGCCCTGGCTGGGGACGTTTTGTTGTGTTCTTGGAGAAAATACTTTACCCTCACAGTGCCTCTCTCCACCCAGGTGTATAATTGAGCAGTTGCAAACTTAATGCATAGGGTAACCCTGCTATGGACTAGTATCGCACCCAGGGGGATTTTACATTTAATTGTTAAATTGTTAATAACAATGTTAATTTTATCAGTAATACCAAGTCAGGAAGCTTCACTTACCACAGTAGTTTCAGGGAGGTCCTGGAATAAATTAATTTCAATTTCTAAAATAGTGTTTATAATTATTNCTGCAGGCAGAGAGGAAAGATACTTTGATAAGTTTCATGTTTCACCTGATGGGAAACACCTTGTGTTTGTTGGCACCAATGGCTACCTTATTCTTCTCTCAAGCAAGGTAAGTTTGCTGCTGGTTGTTTTTTTGTCTCTCAGCTATGTGACTGTATGATTTAATATCCGATGTATTCTTGCCACAATTTAAAGGTGCGTTTCTTTGGGAAAATCGAAGATTAGAAATTTTGCTTTTCTTTACTTTCCTTAGAAATGCTAAATCCGCTTTTAGATTTAAGAATCCAGTCCTGAATTTTCCCAAAGAAATGCACCCTAAGTTAATTAATGGGGGGGGATGTTGCAGCAAAGTTCCCATAGAGTGTAATGTACATCTATCTGGTACAAACAAACACATAGACAANTATGTATTCTTGCCACAATTTATTAAAAGGTGTGTTTCTTTGGGAAAATCAAAGATTAGATATTTTGCTTTTCTTTACTTTTCTTAGAAATGCTAAATCCGTTTTTAGATTTAAGAGTCCAGTCCTGGATTTTCCCAAAGAAATGCACCCTAAGTTAATTAATGGGGGGGTGGGGGGTGGGGATGTTGCAGCAAAGTTCCCATAGAGTGTAATGTACATCTATCTGGTACAAACAAACACATAGACAAAGACATAGCAAACACCTCTCTGAATTCTTTCCTAAATGGATTTTTTTTGAGGTTCCCGTTTATGGGAGGTTTGACTGTAATGTGGTGTATAATTTTCCACATAGACAAAACAATGGATTGGAAACTTGAAGATGAACAGTTCTGTTTCTGCAGTAACATTCAATGCGGATGGATCTCGCATGTTTACAGCAGGAGGTAAGCTGCTAAAACTTCCCTACATGTACCTGTTGGTGTGTACCCCACAATGAAGACATGTTAGCTATCTCTTCTACACCCGCTATGATACTTGCATGTACTGTACATGTACTATTTCCAATGTATGTTTTCAAGGTTACTTGAATTCCCAAGGTGATTATCGGAATCCAACTTACCTGTACAATTACCAGAACACTGCAGTTAGGATTTATAGTAAAAGATAAAATGTGGAGAGTTATCGCGTTGAGTGGGCGTTTGAATAGACTGTTCACAGCCCTCTATTTTCTCGTATTTTTATTCGATCGTTGAACGCGCGGAAAGAATCGCGAGAGAACTGGACGCTAGCGCAAAACGGGAGACTTGACAGGGTAGGGGGGTGGGGATCGAGCCTGCGTGCTTTGCGCTCGCTTCGTTGAAAAGTAGAGAGTCTGTGAACAGTGCGGTGTATGAATATAATGATCAAGTTTTGGTGAACGTTTTTTGGTCCGTCTTTTTCCTTGCTGCTTCACCTGGTTGTATATTTAATTATAATAATCTATTATGATCAACTTTTTGTTTTTCTCTTTCTTTTTCGTCACTGTAGGTGATGGAGAGGTGTATGTTTGGGACATGAACACTCGACGCTGCGTGCACAAGTTCAGGGATGAAGGGTGTTTAAAGTCAACCACACTGTCAGCGTCCAGAGATGGACAGTACATAGCTTGTGGGTGGGTGTCCTCAAAATGCTTTCCTCTCGTGCGCGAGCATGTTCCATGCGTACAGTGTAGTAAGTGATGAGAAACCCGACAACAGTAGTTTGATTTAGTAGTCAGAGCAGTACTCAACAAATGACAGGAACATATTAGAAAGCGAAGATGACCAGCAACGGCAAGGCTTGGAAATGGATTGCAATATAGACAAACTTGAAAACGTGCAGCTTGCATCTGGCCAATATTACTAAGTTAAGGTTTGCGATAATAAAGTTGTTGTACAACGTGGAATTTCTCTAAAGTTGTTTTCATTTCTTACTCAGGTATCAAATATTTCTTGTTATGGGCTCTACAGGAGCATTTTTACAGCCTTTGAATTCTTAGCAGGTTTTTTTGTTTTTTATAAAGTTACACGTACGTTTAGTCTCTAGGAGCCTCTGAAAAATCTCTTAGCCTACCCATAGCATAGCATAGCATAGCCTAGCCTAGCCTAGCCTAGCCTAGCCTAGCCTAGCCTAGCCTAGCCTAGCCTAGCGTAGCGTAGCATAGCATTTGTTTATCGTTTAGCTGGGCACTTAGGCACTGCTATTTTAGCTGATACAGTTTAGGTACCTCTAAGGATCACACCGGGAACACAATGCCCGCAACAGGGGCAAAAAAAGGATCGAGAATCTTAAAACCCATACACTGTCTTGCGGGACACCGCTGTATAGCCCGCATATGGGAGGACTTACCCCCTCCAGATTGTCACAAGTCTTAACTTATATACTTCATTTCAGGTCTGATAGTGGCGTAGTAAATGTCTATGACAATCAGTGTTTACATCAAACCCAGCCAAAGCCACTAAAGGCCATAATGAATTTAACAACGAGTGTTCACAAGACTCTTTTTAATTCGACGAGGTGAGTGTCTTTCAGACGCAGTGTGGGCACGGTTCGCATCAAAATCGCCGCTTTTAAACAGCTCTCATCCACTTAAAAGACAATCACTGAAAAGTTAATTTTGAGTACGCGTTATGCATAAAAAAATTCATCATTCTTTCCAACCTGTGTACATGTAGTTCGGCTTGTACATGTAATTCACTTTGCCCACATCCACTTTGAGGCCAAAAAGCTAATTTTGTACACAGTACATATGCATAGAAATTGTTAATACATGTGACTGCTTTTTCAAGTTCTTGTAACAGTATCTGTATATTCTCCGCTGGAAAGGTGATGAGAACTTCCACTCGCTCGTTCCAGGTTCTTTAGGCTAAAATACATGTACGGGTTGCTTTGTAGTCATTCGCTCAAATAAGAATTGTCTTGATGAACTCATTCGAAACCTGTTTATTGAATCAATGGAATCACTGTCGACATCTTGATTGCAGATTACAGTGTATTCCTATTACACTTGTCTAGCTCTTGATGCAAATCACTGTTCATCTCAACAAACTCTGTCTAACAAACGACTTTTAGTATTTATATTGAGGAAAGTAAATCCCCCACCCTTCTCCCTCACAAATACTTTCCTCCTTCCATCAGCCCTCCAATACAACATTTCACCACCAGTCACTTTAGACCAAACACNCAAATAAGAATTGTCTTGATGAACTCATTCGAAACCTGTTTATTGAATAAATGGAATCACTGTCGACATCATGATTGCAGATTACAGTGTATTCCTATTACACTTGTCTAGCTCTCGATGCAAATCACTGTTTATCTCAACAAACTCTGTCTAACAAACGACTTTTACTATTCATATTCAGGAAAATAAATCCCCCACCCCTCTCCCTCACAAATACTTTGCTCCTTCCATCAGCCCTCCATTACGAAATTTCACCACCAGTCACTTTCCACCAAACACACCCAACTTTTTTCTGTTTTGTTCTCCTGCAATCATACTTTCTTTGCTTTTGTTTATAGCGAAATATTGGCAATATCTTCAAGAGCCAGAAAGGATCTGTTTAAAATGGTAAGCACATTTACTTGTGAGCTCAGAACTCTTAGAAAAACACGAGAAGTAAAGGCAACTTTGTTTTGTTCTTTTTCTTTCTTTTATTCAGCTCCATCTACCGTCGCTTACTGTGTTCTCCAACTGGCCCACGTCACGCACTCCACTCCGATACGTTAACGCCTTCGACTTCTCTCCAAACAGTGGCTATCTTTCCATTGGTAACGACC